TACTCCATCTAAAAATAGATCAAACATAAAAAGTAAAAGGTTTTATCCAAGACACGACTGTAGATTTGACGCAGGATTACGTTCTCGGTATCAATATTCGGCGACTGTGTAAGGGAAACCATTTTTCCCATCACGGAAACGCCTCCTTTTCTGATGACAAAATTACGCATTTTCGTGTACAAAACGCATGGAATATTTGGTTTATTCAATAGATAAAAAAAATTCGAGATTTTTTTGCTTTTGTCTAACGTCCTGGAGAAAACCTAACCTTAATTCGAAGTGTTTCTGGTAAATGTGGTATTCGGTCATTGTGCGAATTTTTATGTACCACTTCAATACTGTTACGCATTTGATCACAAACGTTTGGTTGCTGGGTACAGTATCAAAGAGCTTTGAGTGTAATGAGCGGTTGAGAGCAGCCTTGATAGCTAGCTGCTTGCGGGAAGCCTTTCGTTGTGTACTGTAGAACACCACCACTCACCACACGTGGTGCTTGTATTAACACCATTCGGTGAGACCGGATCGAATTCAATTTTTAAATCTGTGTTAGGGAAAGTGCTTTTCGCAGGCAATCGGTGATAATTTTGACTATCATAGCAACAGTTGCACATTCGCGAAATTTTCAATAGTGAAATTTTAAGTAATGATAAAGTCTTAATTTTAAGAGATTCGTAGGAAAATTTCCTATCGATTAAGAATTGAAATCCATCATTTCTGGATCAAAATCAGACCACTTTCATTCCGCGACCGACTTTGGTTTTTGAAATTGCACCCCCAATGTTGCCTTAAAAATACATGGTATGTTAGATTTAAACATATGGGAACTGACATCCGATTGATGACCTTGACAAATGTCCAGAAAATACACTTTAAGACATTTATGGTGGTCCTGAAAAGGACCGTTTTGCTGTGATGGTTGAGTAGTACTGAGCTATTATTGTGTTCAACACAGATGAGGCTGGTGAGCTGTATGTTGTTTGGAACGAGGGTGACGCGCTTGGCATAGATGGCCCACAGTGACTTACGGAGAGCTTTGAAATCTGTGTTAGGAAAGCACTTTTTGCGGGCAATCGGTGATAATTTTGATCACCATGGCATCAGTTGGACATATGTGTAACTCTCAATAGTGACCTATTGAAAATTGATAAAGTGTTCATTTTAGCAGATTCGTAGAAAAATTTCCAATCGATTGGCTTGTTTAGAATTAAAATCCATCAGCTATTGACAGAGTTATATGTGGTCAAAACCTGACCACTTTTCGTAATGTGGTCGATTTTGGTTTTTTGAAATTGCACCCCCTATATGTTGCCGAAAGACGTAATCCTACGTCCTAAAAAATTTGCACCTTTGAGCCACACTTCGTGTTTTCACTGAAGATTCACTAGGGTGCGCACTCGAGTGAACTTTTAGTGAAAACACAGAATGTGGCTCTACGATTTGAAGTTTTATCGGAAGAATAATAGCATTAAATCTATCTATTGTAGCATGCATTAATTGAAAATTGGACCTGATGTTAGTTTAGAGTGATCCATCCCTGAAATTTGAAATTGTATTGTATAAATATGTACAGTCAAGTCTTCACAACTGTATAAGCAGATATCGAGTTATAGAACCATAGTGAATTAATTTCCTTTGGGTTTTGCGTTCTTCAAATTGATTATTATATGATTCTATGTCAAAACTCGACGAATACTTGACAAAATTTGTGATCATGGGAAATTTTGTACTATGAAAAATCTCCAATATTTTGTGAGTATGATAAAACTTAAAGTTTCAGGAACATTGATCATTTTAAATTCCGGAAATTGGGAAATTTTTATGATCCTATTACAGTTATACCATAGAGGTAACTCTAAGACTAGAAGGTCCCGAAATAACGTGCTCAACTTTTTGGCTCAGCTCTGGTACTCTCTTCGGTCCCAAGCTAATCGATTCACCCCTCGAAACATAGGAAAATCCACGAACCCCGCCATTTTATCTGTCAAACTTTCATAGCGAATCAAAACAAACATTGCGTAGCACTCGAATTTCGACTAGAATGGGGTAATCGTTTGCTTGGGACCAATAGGCTAGTCAAGTAGAGAGCTAATTTAAAATCGTTAGTTCAATAGTCATTTTCTCGCAAATATCAACTCAATCACTCAAATCAATACACAAGAGATGGGGATTGTTCCCTCTGTCCGATGGTATTGTTATTTTACTTGATTGAAATATCGTTGGCGAGAAATCGGCAATGGAAATGAAAAGTGACAGTTACGTTATATCGAAGTATAACTGTACGGAAATAAATACATGAGCGACTCTTCAATATCTAGGTTGTGGAAGAAAATCAAAACTCCTGGATTGGGGTATCATGATGTAGGAAATTATAAAAAATCTCAATCTTAAAAAAACTGTGTAAATCTCAAGCGTGGAAAAAATCTAAATGAAAAATTTCAACAGGAAGAAGATTTATGAATGCGTTATAGAATTTTTTTCACTATCTCGGGTTTACAAAAAAACAATCCAAGCGATGTTTGATAATATCTTAGACGTAGGACTACGTCTTTGTGAACTATACTGGGGTGTAAATCAAAAATTTGTGTAACGAAATAGTGTCAGGTTTTAAATGCTTATAACTTGTTCATTTATTGATGAATTAAAATTATTTTCACACACTTTGATTCGGAATTGATGTAAGATTTGTTTGGTATGACAATTATAGTAATTTATCATCAGTAAACTATTGAAAATTGATCAAACCTTTAGGTCGTCATTAACCAATCACGTGCTCGCTTGCTATGCTATCGATAAAACAGAGAGAGACAACCGGTTGCGAGGTTATAAAAGAGCGTACCTGTACGTTTCGATTAAGAGAGTCTAACGATATGACCGTTGTCACATCGTTAGACTCCGTACATGGCCGAAGAGACTAATTTAAAATTGAGTAGAATTTCTCGCACAATAGTAGAAAGTGAGTAAAATTTTCCTCAAAAATCTGCTTGAAACAAAGAAATGTTTATGAGTACACTAGTACACGGCCAATAAGATTAACTCAAAACTGTGTCGGATTTGACTACAAATTTGCAAAAAAGGGGTAACTTAGTGGATGAGTAAATTTTTCCTCGCTTTTCTACACCCAACCGGGGGGATGTAAGATTCGCTTACAATTATGTGGGATTCATCATCAGAGGATGTTAGTGGAGACCGCATGAACCGAGGATGCGATATACCTAGCTGCTGTCCAATGCAAGAAAATTGGAGACCGAAAAATGTAGAGTATATTAGAGAGACTGAACTCGAACCACGAACGTTGCGATTATCAGACCTGTGCTTTCTCCACTGCTCTCTCCATGCTTCTGAATATGGATAGCCTAAAAGCAAACACGAAGCGCTCATTTTCTCGTGTGCGTCGATCTGCAATGTTCTACGATGTGCGTCGTTCTACAAGCTTACTGGTATGGTCGAAAGCGTAGATAGAACACGGAATAAAAAAGACAAAAAACCATTACATCGCCTGCATGGTCAATTTCTAACATTCGTTGTGATGTTCATGAACAGAGGATGATAGGAAACGGAACTAACATTCATTGTAATAGATTTTTGCTTTGCGTGTAGGAAAAACTCTTTGAATACCGTAGAATCATCGGTTGGAAACTAACGATTTAAAATTGGCTCACTTCTTGACTAGCCCAAGCAAATCGATTAACGTACCCCATTCTAGTCGAAATTCTAGTACTACACTATGTTTGTTATGGTTCACTATGAAAGTTTGACAGACAAAATGAAGGGTTCGTGGATTTTTCTATGTTTCGAGGGGTGCATCGATTAACTTGGGACCGAAGAGAGTACCAGAGCTGAGACAAAAAGTTGAGCACGTTTTTTTCGGGACCTTCTGGTCTTAGAGTTACCGCTATGGAAGAATCCCGTTGAATAGTTGAAATTGCAATTAAACGGCACTCACTTTGAATTTGTTTAACGGGTATCCCTACAATGGCCAATGGCGCTACGCAATTTAATGCAATTGTGAGTTGAATTCGACTCAGGTAATGAGCTAGTTTCATCGGCCGTGTAGAATGGGTAAATTTTTCTCGATTTTCGTCATATCCGAGCAGAGTTTTGAGGAAAATTTGACTCACTCAGTGAGTAACCCCACTTTCACGATTTTAAGTGGTTAGAACTGGTGACCTTCCAGGGTAAACAGTTATTGAAAACAAATATCTTTACTTCCTACAAGGGCGCAAAGGGTAATTCTAAATGAGTAATCAGTTCCAAATTTACCATTACATCACTGGGTTGCGGTCTTCATAAAATCTGTTCAGATGCATAAGGCCTATTGGAAGGTGAACAGTTGAGTTCAGAATTCGTCTTCCAGGTGACACCAATAAATTATTTGCTTAACTTGACATCTTGACTAGACAGAAGGTTTCTGTCTTTGGAAAAGTTATTCAAGCGAAAGAGATTTATAGTATACCATAGTATACATATTGCTTTAACTTGCTACTTCGACTAGATAGATAGTTAGATAGATAGATAGTTTTTTGCGAGATGATCGTATGAGATCGATTCGTCATTTGGCGTGGAACTGCTCAAAAGTCTTCAATCGAGTAAAAACTTCCCTCAGGGATCCAAATACTTTAAACACAATCATCTACAATAAAAATGAAGAATTCCCCGGTTTGTTTACCGCTTGACACACAAAATAGTACCATGAACAATCAGGACAGCATGTGGATTAAAGACCAATCCATCATTTAAAAGTGACCTCACAGAGAAGTAGCCATCCAAATCGCATGCACATAAACTATTCTCGCCCATGAACCCATAGCCTTGCCTGTGCATACCAACCTTGGCAATCATATTGATAAAAATTTAATCGTAAATCCAATCAATTTGCGAAACACAGCTGCTGGATTCCATCATAAATTATCGCAGAATTCCATCCGTCCTTCCATATTTTGATTGGCATTGAGAGTAATTGTGCACATTCTTTTTCCCTTCCTTCCACCAACCCCCTACAGGACGTCCTCCGGGAGAAGCAGAACCACATCGAACAGCTGATGCGAGAGCGGGAAATTGATCGGGAGGAAATTGCCAGCCAGACAATCATGTACCAAAAGAACGTGCAACAGGTAACACAGTGTAGGGAGGGATAGGGCGAAATCCCGAGCCGGATGAAATACCTATCCTATGGGAGAGAAAGTGACCGACAAACTGATCATGGGGACGCTTGGTTGAAATTTGATTTCTATTTTTTAATCATTATCATCAGTGGGTTTTATAATCATTTGACCGGATTTCAATTTCCATTTTAGCGTGACACCGACAGCGAAATTGGCCGTTGGGCCGATTTGGTACGCCGGCGAGCCCTTCGGATTGCCGATTTGAGACGCGAATTCCAAGGCTGGCACGGAAATCACGAACGGCACTGCATTCTTCATGATGTTCTGCTGGCTTGAGTTGAGGAACGAGTGACGGTTGAAGGATGCTGAAATGGAAAATTAAAAACGTGTAGAGCAAATAATGAACCGAACAGCGGAAGAGAATATGGCAGAGCACGAACCTGTGATCCAAGAAAGGCAACAAGGCGGCATCAAACCGTGGAATAAGTAATGAAACGTATTTTTCATTCAACGGTGGACGACGATGAAGATGATTCCGGATCCTAACAGCGGATGATTATTGTATGATGTTTTATGCACTGCTGCTACCAGAAGCTTCTAGAGCTTGAGCAATAAAGATTACATTACCTTGCTTTTGTTTTATTCTACGATTTATTTGAGTAGCTTGTAAGAAACGGTTAATGTTTAAATAACTGTATTATTAGACGATAAGGCTTGTCAGTTTTGTTCGCTGTTCTGTTGTTTTTTTTAGTTTTCATCAAAATTAAATCTATTGCCCAAGTACTGACATATCGTTTTATTGCCATTCCTTCCCGCTCTCTTAGATACAACGGGATCACCGTTGTATTCTAAATCATTCGGAAAATCTCAACAGCATCCATTACAGAATGGGACCAACCTGATGGCAGCACATTTTGTTGCTTTATTTGCAATTTCCGTTTTTACGATTTCTTTTCTCTGCCGTCGTCGTCGTCTGCGCCGGTTGTTACATCGGTCGGTTGGTCAAATGGCAATCTCATAAACCGCAACAGCAGCCAGGCAGCGGTTCCGTTGCTGCTGCAGTGCGTGGTTACTTTTTCTTTGCTCTTTATTACATCCTGCCGGGTGTTTGTGCGGCTACGCTACAACCATGGGCGCCTACTTTGAGGGAGTACGGGACGTTCCGAGATATCCCGAAATATCTTGTTGAACAATTTTCCACCAAATAATCATTCCACTAGTGGTGTCTATCTGATCGAATATCAGTTAAATTTTGAATTTTGTTAAATTTTAGATAGTAATTATTCCTGTACATTGGTTACGCCTATTTTAATTGATTGCTTATGCAATTATGAAAATTTTAATGCGTGATGGGGATCAGCAACATATGAAAAACGGTCGCTTCTCCGGAATCTAATCTGAGGGCCCGGGTTGGCCAATGTGGTCCTGAACATTTATCATGGTTATTGTTTATTGATTTATTTGATAAGGCTCAACCGAATTAACTTTACAGAGCCGAGGATTCTTGGTCACTTTACAATACATCTTAAAACTATAGTCAAAAGGTACAACACAAAAAGCCTCCTCCATACGAACTGGAGCCGCTTCCAGTAGTTTCATTGTATGGCAAATTTTTGTACGCCAACGAGGGTCAGAGCGCGTCCATTGCAACAATGGACGCAAAACGTGGTCAGCACTCACACACTCATCACGAAACGGTTGCTTTCCAAAGTCGACGACGCATCGACCGAAAGAACTGCTGATGAAGAACAATGAGGAGGACCACACAATGGTTGCTGCCGAGAAAACAGACGATCGCGTAGCATACATCGAGAGTGGCCTGCTTTTTTCGACAGCCGAGTGAACACTGTTATCATAGCTATTGGGTGATTGTTTATGAAATTTTGAAAATTTTGATGTGCCGCATGACAGGATTTTGTGCTACATAAAAACCGGCCACTTTCCCCGAGGCCTCCGGCTCCGAGGGGGGCGACACATCTAAAATCTTCTTTGATTTCTCGCATCGGCTTGCATCGCGCATCATCTTTTTGTAGGAAATCTTCATCAATCTTCTTTCTATCTACTCAGGGTGCGCGCAGCTAACCACAACAAAACACAATTTTTCCTGCATCTTAGATAGAGTCGCCCCCCGTCCTGCTCCTATTCAGCATTTCACAGGGTGAACATTGTGGCCCTGGATAGTTAGCATGGTCATTGCACAGTGGTCCAGAATCGAAATTAAGCAAGAATAGTAGCCCTAGTGCTTTTGTTATAATAGGGGAAATGGCTCTAATGTTGGCCTATGGATGTAAGATTAGGCCCATCGCTAAAAATCTGCTATTTATCAATTTTAACTAGATGAACGCGTCATTGTGACGGTACTAATGGATATTTTTGGTCGCTATTGAAAATTTAGTCGATTGCTGAATGTATATACGGGCCTCAAATTAGGGGCATTTAGGCCGACATTACATCCATTTCCCCTATTATGTTTCTCTACAACTTTGTCTCAAACGGCACTTCGATCAGAAATGCCCTTTCCATGCTACAATTTTTTTAAACATTTCAAGGACGCCATTTTTTACAATTTGACAAGTTCCAAAATGGCCGAATTTCAGCAAAAATGTGAATCATAGCCCATAACGAACAATTATGTTTCATATAAATCTGAGAAGGTCGATTAAAAAAAATCAATTTTCTTTTCGCCACACGCCAATAAAAACATTATTTTTAGATGTGATTTACACTGCAAAAGTCGAATTATTCTAGACATTTTCATACTGGTCTCACATAAAAGGAGCCTAAGCTTTCATTTGCTGGGTGTTTTAGCGATACTGATTTTTTGTTAAATTTTACTTCTAGAGACACTGTGCATTATCAAAAAACTTCCGCAAAATTCAAGACTTTCCTGATGTTTAACGGGCTTTCCTGATGTTATAAGAACTGTCCAAAATATCTCTGAACATCGTTAAGTTTTCCAGACTTCCCTGAATTTCTTGGTTTTTTAATGTTCTCCCAGTTCCCTAAAGTTTTGAAAACTTCTTCGAAACTCGCGAAACTTCTTCCTAAATTCTCTAATTTTAGTCTGCTTAGTTGTTGGGGCCTCCCTTAGCTCAGTCGGTTAAGGCACAGCTACAAAGCAAGACCATGCTGGAGGTGGCTGGGTTCGATTCCCGGTCCGGTCTTTCATTTTTAATTAAATATTACATCCAGTTAGAAACAAAGTAATAATGTTAGATGATCGTGGAGGGCACTAGTCAAAAAAATTTAAAATTTACAAGACATGTGGATCATATTTGACCGAGATAATCAACTTTTAAAAGTGTCCGAAATTCGAGTTTAAGTGTCCGAAATTTGAATCGGCACGGTATACTAATGCAAAAATGGTACAGACATCGAAAGCTCTCAATTAATAACAGTGGAAGTGCATCCAGAACAGTAAGTTCACGCAATGAGCTAATATGCGATAAGCAATAAGCTTGAAATGCGAAGAAGAAGAAGAAGAAGAATAAGAAGAAGAAGAAGAAGAAGAAGAAGAAGAAGAAGAAGCAGTTGTTGGTACTTCTTTGAAGTTGCCTATATTTTCTAATGTTCCGGTAATTTTCCTGACATTCATTAAACTTCCTCCCTGAAGACGCTACAATGATCCTGAAGTTTTCGGATCATTCCTGAAATTCTTGGAATATCTGATATTTCTTTGGAACTCCTTGAAAATTCCTGCATTTCTACTGTAGTTAATGGAACTGCTCTGAATTTCTCTGTACATCCTCAATGTACTCGAAACATACCTGAATATAATGAAACTACCCTAATATCACTAGTATTATTTAAAGTTCTCTAAATTTCTTGAAGTTCTCGCAATATACTTAAAAGTTCTCGCATTTTTTTTTAATTAATGGAACTGCCTTGAAGTTGTTTGATCTTCGCTAAAGCTCCCGAATTTTTTTTTAAGTTCTCGAAGCTGCCATGAAAATCACGAAGCTGCCCTTTAAAAGTTCTCACATTTTCCTGAAGCCTTCAGAACTTTGCGGAAGTTTTCAAAAAATCCGGAACTCCTTCAAAGTTTCAGCAATTTTCTTGAAATTAATTAAACTTCCCTTAGGTTCTCTGTTCGTTCCTGACGTTTTCAGAGCTTCCCTGAATTTCTCAATATTTTTTTTAAATTTCCCGAAACTTCTCAAGTTTTCCTAAAGTTTTGAAAACTTCTTTGAAACTCGCGGAACTTCTCCTAAAATTTCTAATTTTAGTCTAGATCAGTGTTGGGAAAATATCAAAAAATCAAATCTCACCAACGCCCAAGATCACGCTTGATTGTCGTAGACAAAATTCAACAAGCAAACAACTGCGGTTGATTTTGCAAGCTGTGATATCGCAGCTCGGAATATCAAGCTAACAAAACTCACCAACTACAAATCTCACCAAACTGTGGTGAGATTGAGTTTAATGATTTTTGCGTTACACCCGAATACACCCGAAACTTCTATAACGGCTTGCAGCAGTCCCTTCACGTCTGCCATCGGTGAAGATTAAAAAGAGATAGCAAACTATGCTTTCTCTTTCTAAGAAAAGGATGTGCAATGGAATCATTTTTGTGTGGAAGTCAACTCTCAGCTTGATTTTTGCCCGTTGTGAATAGTCTCGCAATATCAAAGGAGCTTGTAAAATTAATATCAAGCATGATATTTTGTTCTTATATCACGCGTGATATTGCGGAAAAATATCAATTGATTTCTGATTGTGCCAACACTGGTCTAGATTTTGGTACTTCTTTGAAGTTGCCTATATTCTAATGTTCCGGTAATTTTCCTGACATTCATAAAAAATCTCCCCTACAATGATCCTGAAGTTCTCGAATCATTCCTGAAATTCTTGGAATATCTGATAATTCCTCACTCCTTGAAAATTCCTAAAAAATTTCTGAAGTTCTCTATGCACTTATGCTCTCCTCGAAGTACTCGAAACAGTTGAAGTTTTCGCAATTTTCTTAAAAGTTCTCGCAACTTTTTTGAAATTAATGGAACTGCCGTGAA